TTGGCCCCCCCTGTACATAGCCGTTGCGTTTTTTGCCCATAGAATATGCTATGACTGATACTCCTCGATGGGTACCACTGGGCTTTATCAATAGTAGCGTCTCAAAATTCTGATGGAGGAGGCTTTCTCTGTAGTTCATTTGCAAAGAGAACAGGTCCTCCAGTCGAGAAGTGGTTTTTGGATTGAAATTCGGTCAGGGAATGTCAGATTACCCAAAGCTTTAAATTTCGAAATGCTGTAATGATTCGTGTGATGTGAAGCCCCCTCCACCACTCCCTGAAGAACTGCATCCATTCGTCACGAAAACCCCTTGTGCTGGTTCAGCTATCGTTCAGGTGGTCACATCACATTCGGCGGCTAATTTTAAGCGATTTTTGTTTTTTTAGAGGCGCAGTTCGGCGACGGGAAGAGAGCACTTTGTACTTTTACTTCTTCCCGGCGGCGAGCCATCATGGGAAGACTGTGGTGAAATTCGTGAAACCGCAAATGATATATTCAAAGTTTGTGAAGACCATCTGTCAGGTCTTGTAAAGAGTACCTGTAAACCTTGTGAAGCCATGAAATGAAATGAGTGACTTACCATTGCGGCTTGACGAGCCCTGCTCTAGCTTCACAAGATGTAACAATTTCATCTAGATGAAGATCTTGTAAACAGAACTAGTGAAGCAGAGAAAGTGCAGATTGCCCCCCCCCTCCCCGCGTTCAAAGCGCGCCGTCTTGCGTGTTTTGGCATTCACGAGTTTTCATTCAAACGAATGTTTTCGTTTATCCAGAGGCCAGGCTACCAATGGACAAATTTTGGTCAGATCTTCCACCGAGATAAAGGTCGTTAAAGAATAGTCCACACTTCGAAGAGTGAGGCGAAGAGTGAGGTCGAAAGTAGTAACTGATGCCCAAATCTTTGGCGCGCTGATGCATCGTTGGACTGTGACGTCAGGCGTCATTCTGTTTTTCAAATCGCTTCTTTCTTTATTTGCATTTACATCATTTTCGTACGCCTACGTAAACTTGTTGCTTCATCGATCTAAAAACAATGGAAATTCTTTAATTAAATCATTTTATTGGATTCTGACTGCCCATTTTGTGCTCTCTTCTAGCGTAATCCTTTTCACGTTTTCCTTCTCACATGGTGGTCCTGTGCTTTCTGTCCGGCTTACTAAGCTCAATATTTTTAAAAAGGTTTTTTCTGAAGAAACACATTATGATCGATGGCCACAAAATGACGTGTTATTAACCACAGAGTACGTTGTGAAAAAAAAACTAGTCCGGTCTTGCAACAATATGTGACTGTATGTTGCGGTCCGTCCTATTTAAAAAAAACTGTTCCTCCCACAATCTTCATTGGACGCTACGGTTATATATGTGGCCAGCAAACAAATTTGCCAAAACGGCTGTTATGGCTGCTCTCGTTGAAAACAAGCCATTTTGTGCTGTAATTTTCCCCACTGGGATCGAATCCAATAGTGGGTTGTGAATTGTTCAGCTCTTATCCAACTGTTTTGTCTAACCGTTTGTTTCAACTACTCTATATTTGTCTTGAAAATTTTCGACGCAGTTTCGCTACTGGGAGGGGGAGGTGATGTGGGTGGGGGCGTGTCCACTCCCACTGGTTCCCGTTGTCGTGTCAAGCCGTAAAGCAGAGACTTGTGAACTCTTGTGAAACCGGAAAGTGGTACCAGTCAAAGTTTTTGGGAACAGCTTGTCAACTTCTGTAAGGAACACCTGTCAACTCTTGTAAACAGTCAACACGACAGCGGGAAGCAGCGAAAGTACAAAATGGCCGCTTCCCCCCTCTCGCCAACTTTTCTTTCTATCGTTGGTAAGGCCTAAAAGGTCATCGTTTAAGGCATCATTGAATTGTCATGATTTTCTTTGTTCGTTCCACCAAAAATGGTCTACTGGGGGATTCACGCGCTATACGCTTGATCTGACTTGTTTATGCAAGTTTTGATTACAGGGTAGCACCGTTAGGTAAATCTCATTTGGCGGGGGGGTCCTACTTTGTTACTAGGGAGCGAAGGTTGTGTGCCCCCTTCCTCCCCGGTCAACGCTAGTTTTTTTTCATTTTAGGAAAAGCTGGAAAAATTCCTGGGAAGCTGGGACCTGTAGGAGGAATTTGAGAACGTTTTGGAAGATGGTTGGCTGGATGAGGAGGTCGTACCAGAGTAACAAGTTTTGGGGAGGTGGGAGGGGGAGGGCGGGCGTGAGCAACATGATTTCCACTTGGATGCCTCGACTCCTTGAGGGGAAACAGCAGCACTGCAAAATGCCCCCTCCTCGCCTAGCTGTGTCGCGTTTAATTTGAAAGCGGCCGTTTTTCACTTCAGAAGTATAAGCCACATTCCCTTGCAGAGGAGGGCAGGCTAGCGACAATGCGCGCGAAGTTCCTGGTCACAGCAGCAGCGGCCTTTATATAATATTTTTATATTCTTTTTTCATCCTCAGTTCTCCTAATTGATTTTCGAACACTTTTATATTATTATCCGACTTTTTCATCGGAATGCATTAATTGCAGGGAACTAACAAGTGGTAGAGCTACTGGGTATTCAGTGAATGCTGATAACGCTTTCTGTCATGGGCAGTCAAGGTGAAAATTCCCCAGGAAGCGGGTGAAAGGAAAGGGTGAAGCCGAATGTGGTAGCTGTAGAAATCGAAGTCAGATGACCTTTTCGATCTGGATGATCTGATTCATTGATGAGAAAATGACGAGTAGGAGGGGGCTGATGGGAGCCGTGTGCGCGTGTGTGTATGATCTGAACGATGTCACCTGTGTGCAGATGAGTCATCCACCACCAGTGCGCATACACCCCGACCTACCGCGCGCATTGATTTCCTACCAGCCAGAACCTGACACAATTAAGCACTATAATTATTGATTGTTTTCTATTTATTCTCAATGACGTCATACTTTTTTTGCCAGAAAACTTGGGGGATTTTTCCTGGGGAAATATGGAAAAATTAGACATCTCATGTAGATGTTTCATGTGTCTCTATGCTTGTCTGTATGTCCTTCACTTTTTTATTATGGTTTTTGGTGCTCTATAAAGGTGGTCCCAATAGTATTGATTGATTTGACGAAGTGTGTTTGTCTAGTGAAGTGTCGTCGTGGTGATGAATCGTTCTCCCAAGTGTTGTGCTTTCCCTCGATCTTCGTTCATTTTTTTTTGCTCTGGAAAAAAACCCACTTTTTTCGATGCTTCAGTTTTAACTGCATCTAGTTTTCTTTTCTTTTTCCATTTTTTTGCGCGTTCGTGACTCCAAATTGGCAGTAGTCCACTGTTACGCATCTCTTTATCATAGAGCTAATATTTCTTTGAACAGTTTCCCCTCTACCTGGGTTATAGGTTGGATTTTATCGATTACTCTTTTCGGGTTACTGTATCTCTTCAGAAAGTTTCCCTTTATTTTGAGGGTAACTTCTGAAATTTTTTTTGAAGAATCGCGTCTTGAAAAGCTGGCCAATGTTTCGAATACTGCTCTGCCTTTTGAGCTTAAGATTATTCATCTGTTACACGCTGTGTCACTGATTTTTTTCCATGTCGGACGGGCTCGAAACCGCCCTAGAAGGCAAATCCTCGGCAAATTTTTATTTTTGTGCTATTTATGAGCTATAGATGGGTGGGTTGCGCAGCATTGTAGTAGTTTGGGGACATGAGAACCGCTGTTCGTCCATGTTTCCGTTTCTAGGCAGACAGGTAACAAAAGAGGGGGGGGGGGGTAGACTTTCCATTTTCGCTTCGCTGCTTCACTTGGTCCACAAGGGTCGCAAGTGTCAATTTAGTGAAACCTGTGAGCTTTTGTGAACTGGAGAAAGCTGGCAAGCTATTCTCATAAATGGCATTTGTGTAGTACTTCATTGCTTTATAAGAGTTGAAAGGTACTCTTTACAAAGGTCGACAGGTCTTTACAAACTTTGGCTGGTATCACTTGATGATTTCACAAGATTTAACAGGTCTCCTCTTTATGACTCGACGTCGATGGGAGTGGCAAATTTCCCTCCCCCCCCCCTCCCCTCGGTCACCGAACTGCGTCTTATTTTTATTTTGGTAGAGGGACTGCGGTGTTAGGAGGGGATATCGTAGTGGTTTGGTTTGTTGTTTGGTTATTGAATGAGCGATTGTGATGAAACAGTGCGATAACCGCACAGACCAAGTGATAAGAACCACTGATATTGATGATTGATGTTGACTCCGTGAAATTCTCCTTCGAAATTTAAGCAAGTTTTTCCGTGAGGAAACTCATCTACAACATTCACTAATTGGACGGTAGCAAATCGTGAGCCGAAAAAAGGTGGAAGCAGTAAAGTAACGTAGTATAGTAAATTGCTAGTTATTGGGGGGGGGGGTAGTGAAGCGATTCGGGCAGACTTTATGGGTAGTTTCTTCTCTATATAACTGCTTTTAGTTTTGCTACTCGCTCACCGTGCAAAAAGAATAGCTCGAATGTGGGTTTTGATTGGGTTTTATGGAAACAACAAGCTCATAATCTCTGAACATTCTGCTGATCGGCTTGGAGGGGGCATTTGGCACTTTTGCTTGTCCGTTTTGCTGGTTCATGTTAACTAGCAGGTCTCAATCTGGTGAAACCTGTGGACTGTTGTAAACGCGAATTTGCGAAAGTTTAAATGAACCCCTTTAATACAGGACTTCGCAGGTTTTCACTGGGCGGCCTGTGCAGTCTGAGTACCATTCAATGCCCCCCCCCTCCCAAGACGAACAGCTCTCTTCTCTGTATTCTATGCACATAACTACATTGATCGGAAGAGGTTCCCCATGTGTGGGTGAATTTGAAGTCGTCCGTGGTTCACTTTGTCAGATTTCTTTGCAAACTTCAATGTATTTTCAGACATTTTTCGTTTTATTCGCTTGATCAAAATCCTTCTGTACTCAAAAAAATATAGTTCTCAATGAACAGTGCATTTTTGAGTCGTTTAGAAACCTCCGAACTTCCAAAGAGTTTTATCGATTTTAAAGTTTCTTCTCCAAAGATTTATTAATTCTATGTTTTCATTTGCTGGTTGGTTGTGATAAATATTACTGCTAGCTCATTGCAACGGTTTTTCATAAAGCATTGCTGAGCAGGCGCGGCGAGCGTTGAATAGCTGTGTGAGAATATCTCGGCGAGTGACTCATCGCGCTCTTTCTGCTGTTATCGGCGCCTATTCCTCCGATGTTTTCGACGGTAATTAAATGCTTTCAAATGCCGTGTTTCAGCAGAAACCGGCCATCAGGAATGATGAATGAATGGCATTGAACGATGAAGTAG